TATTGACTTAGTGTAGTGAGAATGCATGCTAGTGTTAAACAGTGAAAACAGAATGCTACAAACAGAGTTAAGAAATCTAAAAACCAATAGATGAAAGCTCTACTGGTCTGTTATTTTCAACACCACATCATTCTGGCTTAGAACAATTATGTAATGGAATATGTTACATTAGATCTAAAAAAAGTCAAAAATACTAAATAATCAAAGAGCAAAAGGGGAGGGGGAGAAGGAAATAAGTAAAGGTCACCAGAGAAAAAGTGCTAGTGTTAGGGTCAGATGAAGCACTGTTGACCACTCGCAGTCAAGTGCTGGCTTAACGTTGACAACAGCTGTCCAACTGAGTGGACAAGCTGACTTCAGGCAGAAACACTGATCTGTGATTTGGAGTGATAGAGAGGCGGCCATACAAAGCAGGGAAGGCAGGAAGTGCATTGATCAACCATCCCAGCCCATAGTGGCAGGAGAGAACAGCAGGAAAACCATCTCACCAAAGATATTGAGTGTGATTTTTGTAAAAAGGTTGCCTTACAAGCCATGTGGTACAGAAAGAAGCTTCACAGAATACACCAAAAGAAGGGGCCTCAAAAAATGGCAAGATCCATAAAATTGAATATGTGAATGAGATGGAGGTACCTTTTTCTGGCAAGTTCAAGGAGGGATATGGGAGCCACTGGAATGGTAATATCCTTGTAGATAGAAACAAGGTGAGCATTAAGGTGAGACACACGTACAGGTGTTTTGGTTCTTTCTGACACTATATGATGGTTGAAAAAAACTTCTCTTCTGCCATCACACATAAAACTGAATAGACCAGAAGGGACAGAATTCAAGGTCGTAGGACAACTGACTGCAACCCTTCAGTATAGAGAGAGAGAGAAAAAAATCATAGATATCTTCTTGGTGATCCTAAACCAGAGCTGATCACGCTTAAGCAGGAAAGCCTGTGCGTACGTGCATCTATTTTACAGAGTAGTAGAACTGGGAAATCAAGAAGAAAAGCTGAGCAAGTTCCAAGCTGAGTTTTCACAGTTCATCGCAGAACGTTTGAAGAGATAACAGAGAGAGCTGAAGAGGACAATGCAGCTGATGGGTGTCCATGGACTTCAAGAAGGCATTTGATAAAGCACTATGCAACAGTGTTGTGGGTAAATTTATAGTTCACAGAATAAAAGAGGCAGGAATTATGTAGATGTGGAATTGACTGAGTGACAGGAAGCAGAGAGTGATGGTGACTTTACCTTTACACCAAAGTATTCCCTGGAATGAAGGGCTTGTTTTATGAGGAAAGACTGAAGAAACTGGGTCTGTATAGTTTAGAATTTTGAAGAGTGATCTCATTGAAATTTTTACAGCATGTCACTGGATGGATGTAGATAGGATGTTTCCCCAGGCTGGTGAGTATGGAACCATAGACTCAGGGCATTAGAGAATTTTGAACTGAGCTGAGGAGACATTTCTTCATTCAGAGGGTGGTGAATCTCTGGAATTCTCTACCCCAAAGGAGAGGGGAAGTTCAGTCCTTGAACAGGTTTAAGGCAGAGATTGATAGATTTCTAGTTACCAATGACATCAAGGGATATGATTTTCGCAGAGGAAAGTAGATAATCAGCCGTGATCTAATTGAATGGTGGGCTATGCTTGATGGGCTGAATGGCCAACACCTGTTCCTATCTTTCTAAGTCTGAATGGTGTGCAGGAGCATAGGGTATTGGGTATAGAGTAATAGAGTCATGCAGCATGGAAATAGACCCTTTGGTCCAACTTGTCCATGCCGACCATGTTTTTCAAACTAAACTAATGCCATTTGCCTGTATTTGACCAAAATGCCTCTAAAACTTTCCTGTTCGCGTATCTGTCCAAATGTCTTTCAAATGTTATTACTGTACCTGCCTCTACAACTTCCTCTGGCAGTTCATTCCATATATGCACCACCCTCTGTGTGAAAAAGTTGCCTCTCAGGTCTCTTAAATCTTACCCCTCCCCTTAAACCTAGGGAAAAGATCTGCCCTGGTTTGTCTTACCAAAATGTAACACCTTGCATTTATCTAAATTAAACTCCATCTGCCACTTCTCAGCCCATTGGCATAGCTGAGATGGCAGGGCAGGTTGGCAGTGCAGTTAACAAAGCATTCAGTGTCCTAGCAATTGTTAATAAAGAATAGAACACACCATTGAGGAAGTTATGATGAACTTGTATAAGAACACTGGTTAGACCCCAGTTGGAGTTTTGTGTACAGTTCTGGGAACCACACTTTAGGAAGGATGTGAACACACTGGAGACAGTACAGATGAGGTTTGTGATAATGCTTTCAGGGATGAAGAGTTTCAGTTAAGAAGATAGATTGAAGAAGATGCAACTGTTTTTCTTGAAGAAGAGAAAGTTGAGAGGGGATTTGTTGAAGTTATCAAAATCGTGAGACTAACATTGTTTGGGGGGTGGGTAAAGTGGTGTGGAAACTGTTCCCATTGGTGAAAGTATCAAGGGGTGTGGGCACAGATTTGAAGTAATTGGTAAAACAAGCAAACAAAACATTGGAAAAAAATTATTCCTGTAGTGAGTGGTCAGGTACTAGAAAGCGCTACCTGAGAGTATGAGGAAGGCAGCTTCAAATAAAAAATGCAAAAGAGAAATAGACCGATATCTGAAGAGGAAGAATGTGTCAGGTTATGGGAATGACACTAACAGAAATGCTCATTCAGAGAGCCAGTGCAGATATGAAGGGCCAAATGGCCTCCTCCTTCATTGAAACAATTCTATGATTGTGTAATGGGGAAAGGTGAACATATCACCCTCTGAGCTGAAACAAAACTATTTTGTCAACTTATATCCAGAAAAGGTCCTCATCAGCTTTCGCCAAAGGTAACAAAGGAGATTGACTTCATGTTGAAGCAAGAAATTATTTCATAAAAACCAAAAGAACTGTGGATGCTGCCACTTCAATGCACCACCTTGCTCCCTGGCCAACACCTCTGTCTCCAGTTTGCTACAGTGTTCCAGTGAAGCCCAGTGCAAGCTAGAGGAACAACACCTCATTTTCTGCTTGGGGACCTTACAGCCCTCCGGACTCAATATTGAGTTCAATAATTTTAGGGCCTAAACTCTCCCATGTCCCAGCCCCCTACCCCATACACCAGGCCTTGTTACCACATAGCCTGCCACTACACACCCTCTGTTGTTAGTCACGAACAGTCCCCATTAACAACTATTCACCCTCCCAGCCTGATCGTTAGCAACTCCTTTGTCTGTCCAACTGTCTTTCTCTCTCTTTGGGCTCTATCCTATTGTTTACTTGCTACCCCACCCACCTCCCTATTTTCTGCATATAAACTGACGTTTTCCCAGCCACCATCAGTTCTGAGGGAGGGTCACCGGACCTGAAACGTTAACTCTGTTTTCTCCTCCACAGATGCTGCCAGACCTGCTGAGCTTTTCCAGCAACTTTGTTTTTGTTCAAGAGATTATTTCACTTATGACAAAACCAACAAGCTGCTGCTTGGGGACGGTCCTGGTACCAAAACATCAACATCCTGGACATTACCACTGACCAAATACTCAACTGGATTAGCCATATAAATACAATGGCTACAAGAGCAGGTCAGAGGCTAGGAATACTGCAGCGAGTAACTCACCTCCTGATTCAGCATTGTGCACCACTACAAGATGCAATGTGAACTATCTTGCACTATCTACAAGATGCTCAAGTGAAAAACTAACTTTTTCACACAATGAGAAGCTAGGGTTTGGAATGCAATGGAAATGTGGTGGAGGTGGGCTCATTTGAGGTATTGGATGATTATTTGGATAGAAAAGGTGTCCAGGGATATGAGGGAAAAGCAGGAGATTGGTACCTGGTTATAGAGTTGGTGCATTTATTACCCAGAAGGCAGTTAAGAATCAACTACACCGTTGTGGGTCTGGAGTCAAATATAGGCCAGGCAGGAGAGGCAAAATAGGTTTCCTTTGCTGAACCTGATGAGTTTTAACACTAATCAACATGATCACCAGTAGACTAGCTTTTTAATTCCAAACTTCCATTAATTTCAAATTTCACCCTGGTGGGACTGGAAGCCATATCCCCAGAGCATTAGCTTTAATTACTAGATTGCTAGTATTGTGATATTACCACTACACCACTGACTATCCACTGTTATTGCTGTAGATTCTATAGGACTGATTGCTGCACACTTTCAGATGCAGGTAGATGGAAAATGTATACCTATTTACTAAGTATCCCATTCATTGACCAGATACTGAGCGGGATATGTAGTGATAGAAAAAAAAACATGATCTGCTACTTGGGCTTGCGAAAAATTTGCAGATTAAGTTCTCAGACTTCATTTCAAGATAGAGGTGAACTTTCAGTGACTCTGTTAAAGTAAATGACTTTAAATACATCTACATGTTTAATGACTGTAACTGAGGTGATGAGTTTTAATGGAAAGAGTGTATGTTTGTGCAAACAGCAAATGACTTGTCCCTTCTCCTGGTGGGAAAGTCTATAAATGGAGGTGTAGTTTTCACTGAAGAGGTGGAAACGTTCACATTGATAACAACAGCTAACTACTGAGAACAACGCAGCAACTGATTGAATTCAGAGATACACAGAAAGGGATCGTCATGATACAATCCCATTGTTGGACAGTACCGTGAATGGAGAGAGTCATAAAAGGAGCTGCAGCTTCTTCTGATTCCGAGAGACAGTGCTAACCCCCATGAAACGGTGAAGGAAAAGAAAGGTTAAAGGCCAAAGTTCTTAAAAACTATTAGTCATCAGCACAGCCCAGGAGATTGGAAATGGAAACTGTTTTGATGCATGAGCAGACAAGTTTGTAAAATATTCAGCTAAAGGAGAATGAATTCAGACTTGACACATTAATGATTTCCTGTTTTGAAATGGAATTTTTTTGCTGTTTATTTACAGGGGAAAATGTATTGATGAGGGGTGGGACTTAACTGTAATATAGTTGAGAGTCTTTTAGTTCAGCTCAGTCCTTTTGGAAGTCATGCAACAGTGAATAGTTTTTGTAATATTTTAAGCTTTTTTTTCTCTTGCACCATAAGGAGTCAGTTTTTGAAGAGGCTGGAGAAAAGACATTTACTGATCAAGTTTCAAGGTAAGTTGAATAATCAACATGCTCTGTCAAATGTGTTCCTCTTTAAACTAGAATAATTATTGGAAAGGAGTAGTCAGTCAAGGGGCTATGGCTAGATAACTTAGCATCCTCCCCTCACCTTTCCAAAAAAAAACCAAAATATAAAGGGCATTGAATGCAAACATGAGGAAGTCATAGTCAACCTGGTTCAGTTTCAGTGGGAGGATAGTGTTCAATCCCGGACACCGCCTGATTTTAGGGATAATGGCATGACTTTGGGAGACAGTGCAGAAGAGCTTTGTTAGAATGAGACCAGGATCAAGGGTGTGCTTAGGGACTGGAGAAGGTAGGATTGTTCATTTTGGGCAGGGAAGATTAAGGAGATCCTGAATAGAAGTATCCAAACTCATGGTGAGCTCGACAGAGCAGGTTTGACAGGACAGAGTTTCCTCTGGTAAATGGCGGTTAACCAGAGGTTCTGGGGTTTAAGGTAACTGGTAATAGGAGCTGAAGGAAATGAAACATTGTTTCACTCAGAGGGTTGTCAAAATCCTGAATGCATATTCTTGAGAGCGTACAGGAGGCAGATTGCAGAGGAACTTTTAAAAAAGCAATTGGACATGTACTGGGACACATTAACTAACACGTGAATGCGATTTTCCACAATGTGGAAGACACTGGGGAGTGGGACGAATTGGATGTGATTGTTAGAGAGCTGTCATGGGCATGATGGGCTGAATGGCTTCTGTCTGGGCTGCAAGTAAGATTATGTAACGTTACTATCTCCCGACTGCAGCTGTTGCTTTGTTTGGCTGTGCATACCTGTGTCGGCATGACCAAGATTAGGAAATTGCTTGCCTGAGGCACATTCAACCTTGTGTTTGTTTCTATGGTTGCTTTCAGTGTTGCTGTTACAACCTGCCTGCATTCTTATTCAATGTTGCAAAATCACCTGGCACCTTCAGCTTGGGCTCTGGTTCATCTTGAGATATGGGTTACATAACTCCAGATTTGAGGAGGATATACTGAGTGCTGTACAGATTCGCCAGCATTGATGTTTCTGATGCTGTTTCACCCTCCCCCCCAGGTCTGGGAAGATCAGATTTAACCTGGTGTGGAGTCTTCTCCCCGTAGCAACTCTGCTGGAGTTATCCCTGTAGTTGCATGAGGGGTGGTCCTGTCATCAAGTAGGACAGTTTGGTACTTAGGGGAAGCTGTAGACTGTTTCTTTATGTCTGCCTTCAAAGTTTGACTGCTCATTCTGCCAGACCATTGGATGAAGGATGGTATGGAGCTGTCCTTACATGATAAGTACCATTCGACATTAGGAAATACTTGAATTCCCAGCTGATAAATGATGGCCTGTAACCTGTGATCAACACTCCCATGTGTTATAAAAGATGCATGCAGTTTTTCTATTGTCGTCCCTGCGTTTGATCCAGCCATTTTGAGTAGGCGTCCACAATGTCGAAGAACATTGAGTCCATGATAGAACCTGCACAATGTGCAACTGAGTCCAGGGTTTACCTCACCATTCCTTTGAATGTGGGGGACACGCTGGCAGTAATTTTTGACCTTGTTGGCAGTCTGGACTCTCCACCAAAGCGTCTATGTCTGCACCCAATCATGGCCACCAAACATGACATCTCGCCAACAGCTTCATTTTGGAATAAAAACTGAAAGAACTACGGATGCTGTAAATCAGGAACAAAAACAAAGTTGCTGGAAAAGCTCAGCAGGTCTGGCAGCATCTGTGAAGGAGAAAACACAGTTAACGTTTCGGGTCCGGTGACCCTTCCTCAGAATCCTGGATGCATACGCTATTGGGTAGTCCTCTCCATTGGGCCATCCTGTGAGCTAATAATGCCTCCATATACAGCATTGAGGTATTGCACGTTAATATCATATCTCGCTTGGGATCATTGTGTGCCAACATCTTAGAGGATGATAGCTGTTTCCTCACTTCCCTGAAAGCTGTGGCTTGGCTATGTGACCATTTCCAATGCTGAACCTTTTTGAAGAGTTGATGCAAAGCTGCCAAGATGAAGGCCAGGTTATGTATGAACTTCCCATAATAATTCACGAGCCAAAGGAAAGACCTAAGCTCCAGTACAGATGTGGGAGTTAGGGCACTGATCACCTTCACTTTATCTTCCAAGAGTGTAGGCGGTCTTGTCAATTCAAAGTAGATCATTTAGGGGTCTAGAACAGACATTTTTCCCTTCTAAGGCTTATGCCCGCCTGGGAGAAATGTCTAAGGATGATATCCAAGTTCTGTAAGTTCTCCTTATTGGTCTTTCCTGTTATTTGCACGCCATCTAGATCAATGGCAACCTGGGGTACACCTTTTAAATGTTCTCCATCGTCTGCAGAAAAGTTGCACTGGCTGACGATACCCCAAATGGCAGTCTTGTATATTGGTACAAACCCTTGTGAGTATTAATTGTAGCTTAGTTCTGGGAATCCTCATCTAACTACAACTGCCAGTGCGCATAGCTAATGTCCAGCTTTGTGAAAGACAGTCCCCTCCTGCCAGCTTTGCATACAAATTCTCTATGCGAGGAGTTTTTTGGATTTTCTTTATCGGGTATTTATCCAGCAGTGAAAAGCAGTTTACTATTTGTTTAAAATTCGTTTAAAATTCTTTAAAAGGCAAACCGACCTATTGGGTTTCACAATTGGTACGACCAGTGCTGCCCATTCCTCAAACTGGATTGGGTTGATGATTCCTTCACTTTCCAGTCATCTGATTTCTGCCTCTGCTTTTGCCTGTAAGGCAAATGGCACTGGGCAGGCCTTGCAGAATCGTGGAATTGCTTCCTGGTCAACATGTAAGGTGGCCATGGCTCCTTTGATAGTCCCTATACCCAACTGACAAACCTCTAGGTATTTAATTAAGATTTCACTTTGGCAGCCATTTTTAAATTGAAAACTGTTGAACTAATTTAAATTAATCTTTCCCAACCAATTTTTATCCATCAAGCTTGGGCACAAGCCTTTTACTACAACCAGTAGTAACTGAACCAGCTGCTCCTCATGAGATGAGAACTGAAGTTGTACCCTTAATCTGTAATGGTTCCCCAGTATAGGTTCTCAGTCTAGCTGAGGTCTTGTGCAAACCTAAGGGTTGGAGTCTAGGGCTAATTTTGTTAAAGACTGGATTCTGTGGTCACTGAAATGGCCACATCAGTATCGACCTCCATTAGAAACGGGTGATCATTTAACCAGATGTTTACTTTGATTGGTTCTGATTTGGATGTTGCTAAGCAATTTAACTGTTCCAAACCAGACGTAGGTGGACTTTCCAGGGAGTGCACTCACCTTGATACTGGCCTTTGAATTGTCTTACTCAATTTATGTCCAGTGGGACTCTTTGCTGTCTTGAGTCCTCGTACCAGCAGCAACTACAATGTCTTGTCAGCTTGGTACCTGAAGAAAATTTTAACTGTTTAGACAAGGCTTGGCTTTGTTTTGGGGTTTTGCTGTGGGCTGGCCTGGAGTCCCCCTGTTCAGGAAAAGTCCTGATAGACACTATGAAACTGCCTTCACTCAAGTGATGTTCCATATCCTCAGTTGGACTGATGAGGATGTCGGAATGCTCGGAAACTCATATACTCCACCTTCTGCATTGTCCAATTATAAAGCCAGTTGTACTGCCTGTTTGAAGTCCAGTTGGGCTTCAGCTAGTAGGTGCTTCTGTGTGGTTACATCATTAATTCAACAGACCAAGCAGCCTCTCAGCATCTCATTAAGGGTTAAACTAAAGTCATATACCTCTGCTAGTCATCTTAACCTAGTCAAAAACCCTGATCCGGATTCCTATGGTTCTTGAATTGTTGAGTAAAACCGATAGCATCTTGGTATTAGAGGAGGATGGGAGTCGTAATATTCCTTAACTAAATCCGTCAATTCTTGAGAAGTTGTCATATCTGCTGCCTCAGGAAATGTTAGGCTCCTAACAACTGAAAGGTCTGTGGGTCCACAAGCTGTCAGGAAAATTACTCATTGCTTTCAATCTGCCCCAACATCATTTGCCTGGAAAAAAATAACACATTCTTTCCGCATACTGGGCCCTGTCTTCAACGGCATCATCAAATGAGTCAAGCTTCCCAAATAACAGCATGATGCCAGAAATACTTATCCCCAACTCAAAGGAGACAGTTGCAAGATAATTTCTTGAGGAGTGTGCTCTTCTCTCATCACCATTTAAGTAACTCCACATAGGCCGGTATCCTGTCACCAAGTCATCCTTTATTTTCACATGGAGCGCTGTTGACACAGATTCAGCTCCCTCAGAGCCAGCTCCTAGAGTGAACAGGATGTCTGACATTCCAGCTGTTATCTGAGAGCTAAGGCTCTCTCATTGGACCAAATTAACAGCCCCAATTAGGGAACTCATATCTATGAGGTGTGCCTGGCTGACCTCGTTAAGATCTTACACTTTCCTATCCATGTACCTGTCCAAATGTCTTTTATATGTTGTAATTGTACCTGCCTCTACCACTTCCTCTGGCATCTCGCTCCATACATGCACCACTCCTTTTGTGGAAAAAGTTGCCCTTCAAGTCCCTTTCGAATATTTTCCCTCTCACCTTAAACCTATGTTCTCTCAATTTGAATTCCCCTAACCTGGGGAAAAAAAGCTTGGCTATTCATGTTGTCTGTGCCCCTCATGATTTTATAAACCTCTATAATGTCACCCCTCAACCTCCTGTCCTCTGGGAATAAATTCCCAGTCTATCTAGCCTCTCCTTTTAACTCAAACTCTCTAGTCTTGGTAACATCTGATATATCTTTTTTGCACCCTTTCCAGTTTAATATCATTGTTCCTATAGCAGGGAGACCAAAACTGCATGCAGTACTCCAAATGTGGCTCTACCAACGTCTTGTACCGCTGTAACATCACATCCCAACACTTGTACTCAACTCCTGCATCTAACCTGTCTAGTCCTGTCAGAAATTATAGGTTTCTATGAAATCCCCCCCTCATTCTTCTAAACTCCAGTGAATATAATCCTAACCGGCTCAATTTCTTCATATGTCAGTCCTGCCGTCCCAGGAGTCAATCTGGTAAACTTTTGCTGTATTCCCTTTATAGCAAGAATATCCTTCCTCAGATAAGGAGACCAAAACTGCACAAAATATTCCAGGCATTGTCTCACCAATGCGCGGTACAACTATAGCAAGACATCCTTGTTCCTGTACTCAAATCCTCTTGCTATGAAGGTCAACATACATTTCCCTTCTTACTGCCTGCTGCACCTGCACACCAACTTTCAGCGGCTGGTACATGAGGACACCCAGGTTTCATTGAACATTCACCTCTCTCAATTTACAGCCATTCAAATAATAAACTGCCTTCCTATTTTTGCTGCCAAAGCGGATAACTTCACATTTATTCATATTACACTGCATCTGCCACACATTTGCCCACTCAATCAGCCCGTCTAAATACACTGCAATATCTCAGCATCCTCCTCACAGCTCACTCTTCCATCCAGCTTTGTGCCAACTGCAAGTTTTGAGATATTACATTTAGTTCCCTTAATTAAGTCATTAACATATATTGTGACCAGCTGGAGTCTGAGTACCAACCCAACCAGTCACCACCTGGTATTCGGAAAAACACCCATTTATTCCTAGAGGAGCAGGAAAGCTGGCATTTCCGGCCGGGACCCTTTTTCAGAATTGGAGGAGGGGAAGGGGGGTCTAAAATAAATAGAGAGAGGGGTTCGGGCTGGGGAAGGTAGGTGGGATGGTGATAGGTGAGTGCAGGTAGGTAGCGGTGGGGATTGGTGAGTGAGGTGGGAGGAGCAGATAGGTGGGAGAGAAGATGGACAGATTGTGTCAGGTCAAGGAGGCGGGGATGAGAGGGAGGGTGACTTTGGTGATATATCTCTTATGTTAGGTTCTTCTGATTTGGTCAGTGGTCAGGGACAGGATGGTTGACTATGAGTGAAGCAGATAGAAAGGGAAGAACCTCAGCCTTTGCTACCCTCACAGAGGAAAAAAGTACATGAAACTTATCTGGATGTGAGTGGTGGCTGCAAAACAGATGAGATAATTGAGCATGGCACCATGGTATAGGGAATCATTCAAAGGAGGTGGGGGGGGGAGAACAGTGTTAATAGGAGTGTAGTGATAATAGGAGACGGAATAGTCAAGGGGATTGATATCATTCTCTGCAGCTTCAGGGGACAGCTGTGATACTTATCTGGTGCTTGGGTTCATGACATCAGTTCTGAGCTGGAGAGCTACCTGCAGTAAGGGAAAGGGAAAGGAATGAAGTAAAAAAGTAGGGAGGTTTTGTTTAAGCTATACAAGGCACTAATTAGACCACAGCTGGAATAATGTAAACAGCAGTCTAGAGAAGTTCACTAGGCTGAAACCAGGTATGGAGGGATGTCTTATGAGGAGAGGTTAAGTAGGTTGGGTCTGCACTCATTGGAATATAGAAGAATGACAGGTGATCTCTTGAAACGTACACGATTCTTACAGGAGTTGACAGTGTAGATGTGATCGGGTTGTTTCCCCTTGTAGGAAAGTCTAGGACCAAAGGGCATCATCTCATAATAAGTGGTCACCTGTTTAAGACACTTGTGGAGGAATTTCTTCTCTCAGAGGGTTGTGAATCTGTAGAATTCTTCTCCACAGATGGCTGCCGAGGCTCGCTCATTAAGTATATTCAAGGCTGAGGTGGACAGATATTTAATTGGTAAAACAATCAAGGGTTAAGGGAAAACGCAGCAAAGTGGTGTTGAGGATATTCATATCAGCCACGATCTCACCGAATGCAGACTCGATGAGCTGAATCGCCTATTTCTATTCCTATGTCTTATGGTCTTTCAGTTAATTGTTGTGGTCCATTTAGGCACCAACAACAGGGTTGGGACTAGGACATAGGTTCTCCTCAGAGAGTACAAGTAGCTTGGGGCTAAAAGCAAAACCTCAAATGTGATAATCTCTATATTAGTGCCTCAGCCATAAGAAAATTGTCATAGGGTAACTAAGATGAGAAAACTAAATGCTTGTCTCAAAGATTGGTGCGGGAGAATTGGATTCTGGCTCATGGGCAGTGCTATCAGTACTTGGGAAAGTGAACCTGTACCACTAAGATGTATTAATCTGAATCATGGTGGGACCAGTGTTCTCTTGATTTATATGCCGAGGAGAGTAGAGAAGGATTTAAACTAAATATTGGGGTAAAGGATCCAGTGGGAAGATGTGGTAAAATGAATAGGGATGGCAAGTCAAGACACCATGGTATCAGGAGGGATAACAATGCACAGAGCATGATAGGAAGGGGCCTTCATAGAATTTAAATGAAAATGTATTAACCTCCACTTGAAAGGCTAAATTCTGGTAATATATGACAGTTAAGACAGGGTATTCAAATTATGGTGCTAAGGAAGGTAAAGAGTTAGAATGAAGATGTGCCATTATTGAATTAGCTGTTGGCTGAACAAACTCAAATGGCTGAGTAGCCTCTTTCTGATCTGCTTTTGGTTTTAGAAGTGGCTGGCTACAGGCTTGATGCTTATTTTCTGCTGTTTCTTCCAGTGTGGTTGTGTTGAAGGCTTCACTTTCCCAAGATGAGCTGGGCTTTCCTGACGAGACTCCTCGAGGAGATCCATAACCACTCCACGTTTGTTGGCAAGGTCTGGCTGACCGTCCTCATTGTCTTCCGCATTGTTTTGTTGGCAGTTGGTGGTGAGCCTATCTACCATGATGAACAAAGCAAGTTCACATGTAACACTCAGCAACCAGGTTGTGAGAATGTTTGCTACAATTCCTTTGCACCGCTGTCGCACCTCCGGTTCTGGGTCTTCCAAATCATCATGATCACGGTGCCATCCATTATATACCTTGGCTATGCCATACACCGGATAGCCCGGATGGAAGGTGCCCAGCCAAAACCCAAGAGAAAGATACCCATTGTGCATCGGGGACCTGCCCGGGATTATGAGGAGGCAGAGGGTGATGACGAGGAGGACCCCATGGTCTGCGAGGAAATTGAGCATGAACCCGAGACTGAAGATGACAAGAAAACTCCTGAGAAGAAGCCACATGATGGCAGGAGGCGTATCAAGGAAGATGGACTTATGAAGATGTATGTCGTCCAGCTCCTGATGAGAACTCTGTTTGAAATTGGTTTCTTGGCTGCACAATACTTTCTATATGGGTTTGAAGTGCTTCCTGGCTTTGTGTGCAGTACGATTCCTTGTCCATACACCGTCGACTGTTTTGTGTCACGTCCCACAGAGAAAACCATCTTCCTGTTGGTAATGTATGTGGTCAGTGGTCTCTGCTTATTGCTCAACTTTGTTGAGCTCTTCCACCTTGGCCTCGGTGGCATCAGGGATGGCTTGAGGGGCAGGCGGCAGGCCTCTCACCTGTATTACTCCTCCAGGAGCAACCACTACGACCCTCCGGGCTACCACTCTGTGCTTCAAAAGGACAAGACCAAGCTGGGCAATGGGAATGTGCCGTACCACAACAACTTTGGCGCTCTGGGGCCGGAGAGTTTTGAGATGTCTGAGGTAGTTCACCGACACCTAAAGCTTGCTCAGGAGCAACTGAACATGGCATACCAAGCATCAAGAGAGCTCCCTCATCAACCGAGAAGTGGCATTCCTGAGTCAAATTGTACAGCTATTGAGCAGAACCGACTGAAATTTGGCCAGGAAGGTGAAAGCGCTTGTGCTAAAAAAGCAGGTAAAATAGAAAATCATTAGTAATTTATAGAGGGCAGCTATGGCTCAGTGGATAACATTCTGACTTCAGAGGTTGTGGATTCAAGTCTCACTGAGGTCTTGAGCACAAACTGGGACAGTGTGGGAGGTGTGAAGCAACAACATAGATTTCTAGGGGAAACTCAGCAGGTCAGGGAGCATCTATGGGCAGAAAGCAGACTTAATGTTTCAGGTCTGGTGACCAATTTTTATCCATCTAATAATTTCACTGTAAACATTGGCCCAAATCTTCCAATCTGTTTGGTATCCCCCTTTCTGACCCAGATCAGCTCTTTATTTTAATTCATTATTATGATTGTGCTTGTTGCTGGCTGTGCCAATACTTATTACTCATCCCTAATTGCCCAGAATCACATATTACTATGGGCCTGGAGTCAGATGTAGGCAAAACCAGGTAAGGACAGAATATATTATTCTCTAGAGGATATTAGTGAACCACATGGGTTTCAGGCTAAATTTTAAACATTTGAATTCTGCCAAGGTGGTATTTGAACTAATTCTCCAGAGTATCTAACTGGAGGTGTCTGGATTACTAGCTTAGTGACATAGGGAAGGCAATGGCCTCGTGGTTTTATTGCTGAACTCTTAATACAGACACCCTGCGAACGTGCTGGAGATATGGGTTCAAATCCTGCCATAGCAAGTGGTGGAATTTGAATTCAATAAGTAACTGGAATTAGGGTCTAATAATGACTATGAAACCATTGTTAATTATCAGTGAAAAACCAATCTGGTTCACTAATTTCTTTTAGGGAAGGAAACTGTCATTCTTACCTAGTTGAGTCGACATGTGACTCCAGACCCACAGCAATGTGGTTGATACTTAACTTCCTTCTGGGTAATAAATACTGGCCCAGCCAGTGACACCGACAATCCACGTGATCTTGAAAAGGACATCTGAATATGTCTTACAGTGACTGCAAAACTTCACGTTATCCCAAGATAAGCTACAGCCAATGAGGTGTCTTAGAAGTGTAGCTACTGTTTTAATGTCAAAAAGGGTAGTGATGTGGGAGCTGGCTGCGCACAGCAATGAGATATTGGGCATGCAGCACCACAGACACTTCTGTTCCTCTGTAAAGACATGAAGGGCAAAATGGCCTTCATGATATTGCCTAACAGGCTTGAGGGTCTAAATATTCTCCTCCTCTTGTGTAGCAGCTTTGAGGGGCTGAATGGCCTTCTGACTTGTATAAGACACCTAACAGTTCTCCTTCAGAGATAGTAAGAACTGCTGATGCTGGAGTCAGAGATAACACAGCGTGGGGCTGGAGGAACACAGCAGGCCAGGCAGCATCAGAGGAGCAGGTAAGCTGACGTTTCAGGTCGGGACCCTTCTTCAGAAATGGCCATTTCTCTGAAGAAGGGTCACAACCCGAAACGCCTAACAGTTCTCCTTGACCTTCCGTAACAATTTCAGGGTTTGAATGACCTTCTTCTGCTCTTGTATAAAATATAGGCGAGGCTGGGTGGCCTTCTTCTGTCTTTGTGTAACAGACTTGGGCAACTTAAGGACTCCCTTTGTTCGTATGTTTCTTACTAATATCACTGATGATTTGAGTAATCCACTGATCCCTTGCCATCCCTCTGGTTATTCTTCTGTTTCCTTTTTAGGTCTGCATGGGTGATGCTGATGGAACAGGCTCTTTGACTTTGAGATTCGGAGAAAGTTGTCGCTTGAAGCAACAAAGGAACCTTGACTGAAAAGACTCATATTTCATTCTTATTCTCTGGGCTTTAACATCACCAACTTGCAAAAGCAAAACTACTGGAAAGAGCTGGGTTGTGAGGGGACACTGGATTTAGGGCTGGGTGGGAGGGCAGGGCGAGGGGGAGTTAGGGTGTGTTTAGACAAACTTGACGGTGTTGAGAATTTTAAGTCCAGTAATTGTTCGACTGACTGAAGGGTCTAAAACATATCTTGTAGCGCTTGAGGCACTGACAGCCAGTCTTCATAATTGAAAAGGAGACCCCTCGCCTGGAGACTGGGGAAGAAGCTGAGGGGGTGACCCTCTCCTTAAGCAGGTACAATCTAACAGAACTGGCTCAGCCAGATAATTTGTAGTTTCTTTTCATCACTAAATTGATCATTCATTTTGTTTCTCTGGTTTTGGGTTAGTTTAATTCTTAATGAAATCTTTACTTTTTTTGGTGTTGGGTTTAGATAAATCCAAAAAAAACAACTCGGTGTAGCAAGGGGACAATTAATGACAAATTGTTTTGTTTAGTCTTAGAACATACCAGAATCATGTTACGTTGAGCGAAAGCAACAATGAACTGAGTTACTTTTGTTGATGTTCCTATATCTTGCTTTTGGTACTTTTGATACACTGTATTGCTTCATTTGTGACCATTTGATTGATTTGGGCCTATTGAGCCTTCTCCAGCATGTTGCTATGCTTACCAGGTTGCTCTTGGGTGTGTGTGTTTCCTCTTTCTTCCTCTGTCGACTTAAACATTTGTTATTATTCTTCGTGTTTATGAGTTTGTAACCGGTGGGTTTTCTGTATATTTGTAGTTAATAATGAACTTGTACGTATTTCTGTAGCCATGTTGATTTCCTTTAAAACAGTTTTGAAGCTTAGCTTTAGAATTAATGGGTAGCCTTATATATTGTATCAGAGATAGTAGGAACTGCAGATGCTGGAGAATCTGAGATAACAAGGTGTGGAGCTGGATGAACACAGCAGGCCAAGCAGCATCATAGGAGCAGGAAGGCTGATGTTTTGGGCCGAGACCCTTCATCAGAAATCGGGGAGGGGAAGGGGATTCTGAAATAAATAGGGAGAGAGGGGGAGGCGGATAGAAGATGGATAGAGGAGAAGATAGGTGGAGAGGAAACAGATAGGTCGAAGAGGCGGGGATGGAGCCAGTAAAGGTGAGTGTAGGTGGGGAGGTAGGGAGGTGATAGGTCAGTCCAGGGAGGATGGACAGGTCAAGGGGGTGGGATGAGGTTAGTAGGTAGGAGATGGGGGTGCGGCTTGAGGTGGGAGGAGGGGATAGGTGGGAGGAAGAACAGGTTAGGGAGGCGGGGACAAGCTGGGCTGGTTTTGGGATGCAGTAGGGGGAGGGGAGATTTTGAAGCTTGTGAAATCCACATTGATACCATTGGGCTGCAGGGTTCCCAAGCGGAATATGAGTTGCTGTTCCTGCAACCTTCCGGTAGCATCGTTGTGGCACTGCAGGAGGCCCAGGATGGACATGTCGTCTGAGGAATGGGAGGGGGAGTTGAACTAGTTCGCGACTGGGAGGTGCAGTTGTTTATTGCGAACCGAGCGTAGGTGTTCTGCAAAGCGGTCCCCAAGCCTCCGCTTGGTTTCCCCGATGTAGAGGAGGCTACAACGGGAACAGCGGATACAGTATACCACATTAGCAGATGTGCAGGTGAACATCCGCTTGATGTGGAAGGTCCTCTTGGGGCCTGGGATGGGGGTGAGGGGGGAGGTGTAGGGGCAGGTGTAGCACCTCCTGCGGTTGCAGGGAAAAGTGCCGGGTGTGGTGGGGCTGGAGGGGAGTGTGGAGCGGACAAGGGAGTCACGGAGAGAGTGGTCCCTCTGGAAAGCAGATAAGGGTGGGGAGGGAAAAATGTCTTTGGCGGTGGGGTTGGATTGCAGATGGCGGAAGTGTCGGAGGATGATGCGTTGGATCCGGAGGTTGGTGGGGTGGTACGTGAGGACGAGGGGGATTCTGTTTTGGTTGTTATTGCGGGGAGGGGGTGTGAGTGATGAGTTGCGGGAGACACAGTGGAGGGCGTTCTCTACCACTGAGGGGGGGAAGTTGCGGTCCTTGAAAAACGAGGACATCTGAGATGTACGGGAGTGGAATGCCTCATCCTGGGAGCAGATGCGGCGGAGGCGAAGGAATTGGGAATAGGGATGGCATTTTTGCAGGAAGGTGGGTGGGAGGAGGTGTATTCTAGGTAGCTGTGGGAGTCGGTGGGCTTGAAATGGATATCGGTTTCTAGGTGGTTGCCCCAGATGGAGACAGAGAGGTCCAGGAAGGTGAGAGAGGTGTTAGAGATGGTCCAGGTGAACTTAAGGTTGGGGTGGAAGGTGTTGGTGAAGTGGATGAACTGTTTGAGCTCCTCATGGGAGCACGAGGCGGCGCCAATACAGTCATCAATGTCGCGGAGGAAGAGGTAGGGTTTAGGGCCAGCGTAGGTATGGAAGAGGGGTTGTTCCACGTAACCTACAAAGAGGCAGGCATAGCTTGGGCCCATGTGGGTACCCATGGCCACCCCCTTGGTCTGTAGGAAGTGGGAGGAATTGAAAGAGAAGTTGTTGAGGGTGAGGACGAGTTCGGCTAAGCGGATGACGGTGTCAGTGGAGGGGGACTGGTCGGACCTGCGGGACAGGAAGAAGCGGAGGGCCTTTAGGCCATCTGTATGGGGAATGCAGGTGTATAGGGACTGGACGTCCATGGTAAAGATGAGGTGTTGGGGACTGGGGAATTGGAAGTTCTGGAGGAGGTGGAGGGTGTGGGTGGTGTCACGGACGTAGGTAGGGAGTTCCTGGACCAAGGGGGAGAAAATGGAGTCCAGATAGTTGGAGATAAGTTCCGTGGGGTAGGAGCAGGCGGAGACAATGGGTCGACCAGGGCAATCAGGTTTGTGGATTTTGGGAAGGAGATAGAAGCGGGCAGTGCAGGGTTGGGGAACGATGAGGTTGGAGGCCGAGGGTGGGAGGTCACCTGAGGTGACAAGGTTGTGGATGGTTTGGGAGATGATGCTTTGGTGGTCGGGGGTGGGGTCATGATCAAGGGGGCGGTAGGAGAAGGTGTCGGAGAGTTGGCGTCTGGCCTCGGCGATGTAGAGGTCAGTGCGCCATACTACAACTGCGCCTCCCTTGTCCGCGAGTTTTATGGTGAGGTTGGGATTGGAGCGGAGAGCTGCATGTTCTGCGGGGGAGAGGTTGGAGTGGGTGAGAGGAGTGGAGAGGTTGAGGCGATTGACGTCTCGACGGCAGTTGGAAATGAAGAGATCGAGGGAGGGTAGGAGGCCTTGGGGTGGTGTCCAGGAGGAGGGGGTGTGTTGGAGGCGGGAGAAGGGGTCAGTAGGGGGAGGGTTAGGCTCACGGTTAAAGAAGCATGGAGGCGGAGGCGGCGGAAAAACTGCTCAATGTCCAAACGTGACCGGTATTTGTTGATGTGTGGGTGGAGGGGGACAAAGGTGAGCCCTTTACTGAGGACTGACCTTTCGTCCTCAGTAAGGGGGAGGTCTGGGGGGATGGTGAAGACTTGGAGGGCTGAGTGTTGCTGTCTCCTCTGGAGCTGCTAGCTGTTGAGGCGGTGGGCGGAGCGACATCGGCGTCGGCTGTGGGCGGAGTTGCGTTGGCGTAGGCTGTGGGCCGGGTTGCGTTGGCATGAGCGGTGGGCGGAGTTGCGTCGGCGGTGGGCGGAGTTGCGCCAGCGGTGGGTGGAGCTGCGTCGGTGTCAGCGGTGGGTGGAGTTGCGTCGGTGTTGGCGGTGGGCAGAGTGGGGAAGGCGGCGTCTTCAGTGTCTGTGGTGTTGGTCTCGGAAATGGAGGCGGTGGCAACAGCAGCAATGGCGTTCGCTGTCCCGGAAATGGGGTACCCGGCCCTGGCAGATGTGACGTCATCTGTGGGTTCTCCGACATTCTCATGGCCAATGGCGGCGGGCACATTGTCGGGAAGGTCCTGGGTACGGCTGGGGATTTGGGAGGTGGAGGAAGCCCGTTTTGGGTGGTAGGGACCAGTAAGTTTACTGTATTTACGGTTCTTAGTGTCCAATAAAGCTGAGTAGAATTGTGAGTTCAGGTTGTGGATCCTCCGAAGAATAAAAAACAGGAGAGGTCCTTTTCAAGTCTGGGAGATGGGGGCTCTGAGCTGGGTAGGCTTGATTGTAGTGCCCGGAGATGCCGGCCGTCCTCCCTGGACTGACCTATCTCCTCCCTAACTCCCCACCTACACTCACCTTTACTGGCTCCATCCCTGCCTCTTTGACCTGTCTGTTTCCTCTCCACCTATCTTCTCCTCTATCCATCTTCTATCTGCCTCCCCCTCTCTCCCTATTTATTTCAGAACCCCCTTCCCCTCCCCCATTTCTGATGAAGGGTCTAGGCCCGAAACGTCAGCCTTCCTGCTCCTATGTTGCTGCTTGGCCTGCTGTGTTCATCCAGCTCCACACCTTGTTATCTCAGCCTTATATACTGACTGGGTTTCACAACCAAACAATATAAACAAGCTCCACTCTAGAAGATCAAGAAAGTTTTTTTTAAAGCTTAAGGGAAATACCCATAGAATGAGAATTCTGAGGTTGTTGGCTTGCGCGCCAAGATGGGAGTAGAGGTGACGTTTCGTCACCATGCTGGGTAACATTATCAGTGCGGCTTCCGATGAAGCGTCTGTTAAAAGAACAGATCATATAAGTACCAAGTGGAGTAAAACAACAATGCTTCATCGGAGGCTGCACTGATGATGTTACCTAGCATGGTGATGAAACTTTTGTACGATAATGAGCCAGCTCGGCGAGCAAGCCAACAACCTCATCCACAACTCGAGCTGCAAATCTTTGCAAGAACCTTAATGAGAATTATTTTTTAACCAGTTTTGGATCATCCTGTGAAACCCTTCAATAAAGACAGCTGTTTAAAGAGTGTCCCTGAGGAGGGAAGGATATAGTGCAACCAGATTGCCTAAGAGTAAAAACTTAGAGATAGTCCCAGATCAAAAAGTTGGGATAAACTTTTTAAGGAGTTACTTGAAGCTGAGTATGTTTAAGCTCAGGTACACAGTAGCTCTAGGGAGAAATCTAACAGCAGTCCAGTCTATAAATTGAA